TGTGTGTGTGTGTGTACCTTTGATCACCGTTTTTCAGTAAGATTCACATAAGAGTGTGCTTTTGAATGGACTTGAAAGACGTTGAAAAATAAAAACGAAACAAAAAAGAAGAAGAAAATGTCAAATCCATTTTTTAAATTGACCAATGGGCAGAAAAATTATTTTTGACCAGCGCCTAGTTTGACTAAGATGTAACTCAAATTCCTCTCTGTCTTCCGTTGTCTTCAGCAGCTGCCCGAAGCGGCCGTCGTCAGGCGTTAGGAAGATGAACGTGGAGGATTTGGTCTCCGACCTGTCGACGTGTGGCAGGTTCCAGGTCCTGCTGACAGCCATCTGCTACCTCGTGAGGATCTCAGGCATCTGGGCGATCATGATGATGGCTTTTGGGAGCTACGACCCAGGCTGGACATGCACAGGTGGGACATGTGTGCTCATTTCGTGACGACGTGTAAGCGTGTGCGTGTGATAAGCAAGTAAAGGTGTGTGTGTGCGTGTTATGTGTGCGTGAGTGTGTGTGTGTGTGTGTGTGTGTGTGTGTGTGTGTGTGCTTATTCTTTGTTTCTTGGATTTTTTTTTTGTTTGATGTGATGCTATGACACTTTATACGATTTTTTAAAAATCCAAGATTATCGATGCTCTTGGCAAAAATCGCAGTAATGACATATTATCTTATTATTAAATATACTATCATATCTTCATGGCAGTCGTTGTGAATCTGGTATATGGACCTGATCTAGAATATATTTACATTTAATACATTATATACAAATAGTAAGTTGTCTGTTTGTTTTGGTAAGTGTTTTACGGCGCTCGCAACCGCATAAAGTCATTGAGCGTGCGGAACACATTAAACATTTTCAGTTAGTAGGAAATTTTGAATTTTGCTCGGGTGGCGGCCGAAGCCTACTCTTATCGATTTTAGACCACCAAGAGATTTTTAACGTGTGCAACTTGCACACGGGCCTTCAGAGATTTTTCGCCCTTGTCCGAGAAGGCTGGGTGTAGATCTTTCCTACCTGAAGATTAGGCGTGTGGCTGAAAGGCAGCAGTAAGGAGCCAAGGGGTAGCAGTAGAAAGGCTGCAGAAAGAGCCAGGACCTAGAGAAGGGGGCAAAGGAGACGAGGAGGCGGGGGCAGAAAGTGGAGACGAAAACAGACGACAAAACATTACTAGAAAACACGAAAGGAGGTAAAAGAAGACAATTTTAGAGAAGAAAATCTTTCCGTCGCTATCCTGATTCGAACCAGGGACCTTTGAATGAGAGACGAACACCGTAACCTCTAGGCCACGAGAGCCCCCTTAAATTGTCTATATATACAACGGTATGAATGATAACTATAATATATATATATATA